CTCTAATGACATAAAGTTACCTAGTTTCTAACACTTTTGTCAAATTATCACTGCCGCCATCTTTAACTTTCAATCAACGCCTGTGATATTTCCCGCTGAACAATTAAAAAACAATAACATTTATTATCCTCTTTAATTCACCATAGAAAACAAGCAAAAATAACCTCTATTGCTTCAGTAAAAGTCACTAATTTGTCGTCGAATAGGTCTCAAATTAATCTAGACCTCAATCAAGGTTGAAACAAAAAACAACCATGAAATTTTAACCATGGGAATGTACTATTGCCAGCACGTCATCCTACACCAGTTTTTGAATATTTTATTGGATTTTCAACCTAATATCAAAACAATTAAGTTGGTAATCTAAGGAATTGGACAGAAAGGTGTATCTTGACCAGCTGCGTGCTATAAAACTATTATGGTCCTGTAACAACTAAAAGTTAACTGTTTTTAATTTAACTTAACAGTTAGGAAATAACTATAGAATGCTGCTAAATTTAATTTCATAGTATTTAACGTTAATTTGTTCTGGTATTGTTAAGTTTAGTTTTTTACAAAATAGTTACGGATGGTCGACCGCCATATAGTCAGTCGACCGTGATGTTATTTTATGTAGGAATCGGACTGATGTGTAATAAAGTTCATTGTAATATTTCATTTAAATAAAAAAAACTATTTCCGGGTCGAGTAAAGTATACTAGGTTTTTAAAAACATTCTCAGTATTAGCACGGGGTCTGGAACTGCTCCCGGTATATGGCAATAGGCTCACCCCCTATTACATGGGACGCATAAGATAAATAGTGAAAAGTGGGTGTTACATTGTACAGTAGTGGCATTTAGTGTCGTAATGTGCATCTCTGCCTACCTCTCCGGGGATAAAAGGCGTGATGTTATGTTATGTTAAAAAAACGTTTGGATTGTAAAGAAACACGATTCCTTTATTTGTTGATGATGTGTTCAGACGTGATTTGTAAAGGGAGTAGTTTTTACATTAGAGTGGTTTATTGTTGTACATTTTTTTAAGCCAAAGATCTAATACAAATATTTTTAAGAAAATAACTATTAATTATTTATAAAATAAAGATTAAAATCTTCAAGGTATTAATTTTATCATAATTTAGTGTCGTAAGCCCTTTGCCACTGTTAAGATGTCCAAAAAATTACCTTAGCCATCGCCTAATGATTCGAACTTCGACCTCCTTACTGAATTATACCTCTAACCAAACTATCAAAAAAAAACAATCCAGTGATTCAAAGCATCCTTTCATTTCCAAGAGTACCATTATGAAAACGAATTAAGAAAAAATATTTTCAGTTTCAAAACAATCACTTCGTTGAAACATGACACTAATTGTGCGGAATTGGCATCCATGTTTAATCTAAAAATAAATATGAAAACTCCAAAAAATTTCCCAATTTAAGAGATAGAGAAACAATAAAAATCTATTGGCAAATGGAAATGTTATGTCTGTCAGTTTTAATTCAAACTTTCTGTATAGAAAATCGATATTACGAGAATAGTTAGTGTTCGGTAGTAGCTACTATGAAACTCGAAGAGCATTAATGTGATTATTATTTTTAAAACGTGCACTGTGGTCATATCGACTACCCATGACAGACCGTGCCCGACCCGTGCGGGTTCGAAACCTCCCAACAGCAAGTACCAATGTGACTTTTTCCGAGTTAGGTATATGTACTTTCTAAGATTATTTACACATCACTGACAAGCGGTGAAACCTAGGCTTATATTTACTAATAATAAGTTTGAAATCGCCAACCCGCATTGAGTGGGAGCGTGGTGATATTTTTTTTTATGGGGGGAAAAATCATCGAATATCTTTTCCCGCCTTGGTGAGGCAGGAGGGAGTGTCAGACTCTTACTGACTAAAAACCACCCCGTTCCTACTCCTGTACTTCGAGCTGGAGCCCCGGTAACCCGTTAGGTTCTCCGCGGCAGAACGTGGTGATTAATGATCAAACCTTCTCCGTGTGAGAACATGCCTTCGGTCAGCAGTGGCCACTTATAGGCTGTTGATGTGTGATGTGTGAAGACAGTCAATGACTGGACTTCGGGACTATTCTACATTAGAGGTTTTCTAGAATCTCCACACTTGACTAGTGCTAGTGGGTCGAAAATCACAGTTTAAAGAGTGGAATTTATTCAGACAGCGCTGGTAACCAGTTCTCTGGCAAAAGCGTAGAGTAACACAGGAACACAACAGTCTTAAAAATATTTTTATAATAAGTATCGTGAGACATACTAAATTAACTAAAATCGCGAGTTACTCACGTGAATATAGTGAAAAAGGCTCTACTAGTTTTAAAGCACAGAGGGGTTCTTCCTCATGAGCAGCGTGCGCGGTCGCAGCAATGTCGTGCAGTCTCGTCTAAAAAACGTTTTTACTTGTCTTTAGAATCAAATACGAGACTTAAATGACATTATTAGTATTATATTTATTTATTAACGCTTCATGCACAAAGTGTACACAAGGTGGACTTAATGCCGCAGGCATTTTCTCCCAGTCTGACCTTTGGGTGATGCAGAGAAGAGTGAATGGTAGGAGCAAGAAGCAAGCAACGATTTAATTGAGAAAATAGAAGATTACACTAACATATTTCAAATATGAACATAATTAAATATATAAAATAATAATATATATACCTACACACGAGTAAAATACAATATACATACATACATACATATATACATACATACATACGTACATACATAGACTCATAGCATATAAATATTAACATAATTACTATTATATTGACTTGTCAATAGTAATAATTCTAATATTCTTTATATATGCATATAGAAAATCGATATTTCTAACCGTTCATAAAATACTACAGTCCGGTAGTAATAACAAATAATGAAAAGTAACAATAACTCACGACGGATACCGATCGATAGGTCGCGGGTTCAAATCTGACTGCGGTAAATTATTGCTGAGAAATGTATTTATAATTTGTGTTTATTGCTGACTGGATACGGAAGGCGGAACCTGGCCGTAATTAGGAAGGTTCCTATGACCGGTATTTAAGTGAAGCGTGATTAATGTTGTGGTTGAAAAATATTTTGTGCTGTATAGGGGATTAAAAATATGTTTTTTCTGTTTAATTACTTTAATGGTTTTGTGGTTGTGAGATAGACTGCTGAGTAAAGGACATAACATAACATCACGCCTCTTTTCCCCGAAGGGGTAGGCAGAGGTGCACATTATGCCACTTGTACAATGTAACACCCACTTTTCACTATTTATGTTATGAGTCCCATGTAATAGGGGGTGAGCCTATTGCCATATACCGGGCACAATTCCAGACTCTGTGCTACTACTGAGAATTTTGTAAAAACCCAGTAATACTTTGCCCGACCCGGGAATCGAACCCGAGACCCCTTGCCCGGCAGTCGCACTTGCGACCACTCGACCAACGAGGCAGTCTGACTGAGTAAAAGACTACGAATTTAATTTTAAGTTAACTCAAATCATCTATGGTTGAGTTCCTAGAAATAAATATGAAAATATATATTTTTTTATTTTAAAATCATCAAGAAATAATAGCAATGGCATTATGTTTTCGAAATACGTATAACATTACAGAACTCCACTTACATTTGTTTTAAAACATCAGTTTCCACCAGGAAATCAAATGTCGAACCTTACAATTCGATGTGTTTACTGAAAAACTTAACCAACAAACCGCTCGATAAAAAAAAATAACTTCAAACAGCTGTGTGTTTATATTAAATGTGTGTGTTGTTCCAAAAACAATACTTTTCAAATACACATCAGACCCGCAAAGTTTCAGAAGACCTCGAAACGTGTTATTTACATATTTTCCTTACAAAACAAAATGGCTGTACATACATTGTATAGTCAAAAATGTGACACATGTGTTTTTCAGCCTAAAAGTCCTGAACAAATTGTTATGTGGGTCAGAGAATGTGTTTTGAATTGTTTGTAATTTGCACATGTATAATTAGTTATATATCATATATTATTCATCTTTCTTTCTTCTTCCTTCTTTATTGCAGACTATATACCTCTGTCGCAAATTTCATCACGATCCCTTCGGTCGTTTTGGGGTGATTGAGTAATAAACATACACATAAACACACATACTCACAAACATTCAATTGTAATTATAGCAAGACATCTGATACAATATCAAATTACTCAATAATTATTATTTTAATGGTGCAGTAAGCAGTACTTCTGGACACGGTGCGTATTGTCCGGAAATTCTTTTCTCTGGAGCCCTGACCACCAGCTTTATATCATTAAATGTTTTTTTTATATTATAAAAAAATATTTAAAAATATATACGTCAGGTATAGAAATAAATAAAGGAAATAAAAATTTTAATGTTAAACTTTCAAATAGTCTTTTCACTTCATTAATATTAATAATTGATTTACGTACACATCACACTAAAACATTAAAAAACAACATTTTGTTAAAAAAAGTCTAATACGTTTTTAATCGCACCGCTATCTATTAGGTTATCATTCCGAAAAAAATCATGTAGGTACATGTTATTAATGTAAAATTTTCTTTTTTTGTTTCAGGTATGTGAACGTGTTCAATAAATAATAGTGGTAAGGTTCCAGTCGTGAGTAGGCGAAGGCGATTTCGAAGATTATTTCCAAGATTTTTTGTTCCACTGGAACATTTTTTGTAAGATGTGGTTGACTGACGATCAGGTCGTGAGTTCAAAGTTCTGTATTGAATGTGCATTGTATTTATTCCATGTCTGATCCTGCATCACTAAGTTGAAAATATTTTAAAATAGAAAATCTTATTTCTCTCTCAAACCAGATAGTCTCGGTCTTATTATATTATTATATCAGATATAAATTCTTATTCTTACTGTATTATAAGAATATTAGAGGAGAAATAAAGCAAACAGAAAATATTTAACATAAATAGTGTAATAAATATGTTTAGATAACATAATATACGTATACCTGAATTTTCTCAATAACCACAAATCACTAACCAGGCCAAACAATACCCTCGATCCATTCCAAGTACTTGAAAACCCTGGTATACACGCCAGGACTCATCTTCCTCCCACAATCCCTCCCAAAAGAGGTCACTCCTACAATAGTATGTAAGGGAAAGGTATTAAAACAGTCCACCCTGTCCTCCATCACCTGCATGGGCCCTCCAGAATCTCCCTGACACGTATCCCTCCCACCATGTGTATAATCACCAGCACAAATCTGGTTCTCAGTAATCCCTTCAGCCAAGATCTTCTTCTTGATCAAAAATTTCATTGAACGATTGCAAACTTCACTGTCTATAAGATCAACGTCCACTTTCATCAGCGTCTGACTTCCATACGTCGCACTAGAAGCCGTCTTCCCAAATCCTATGACGGTTAAATTCAATTTACTTATATCTTCTCCACGATGTAAGCAAGCAATCCTAATGTCCCGATTAAGAGTAAATGGAGCACCAGCTCTCATCAACGCTATATCATGGTACTTAGAAGGAGGTTTATAATTTGGATGGGACACTATCTCTGTCACATTCCTTTCTTGTACCAGTTCATCAACTTCGTCAAATTCGAAGGTTGCTGTTCCAATTCTCATGGTGCTAGCTGGTCCAGCGTCCCGGTCTTCAGTGCAGTGGGCTGCTGTTAGCACCCATTGGTCACTGATCAGACTTCCACCGCATTTCCATACCGGTGGGTCCGACGGTGATTGACGAAACCCTATCAGTACCATGTGAGGGTATAATAGGTAGTCTACTGGGACTCTGACTCTTAGGGCTGGGAAGAGTACGTTGTGGCACTCTAACATGTATTGTCCGTAGCCTCTGCAAGCGTTGAAGGCTTTCTCACCGACTCCAGAACATTCAAGGATAATTTCAAGAAGAATTGCTACCATAATATGGAACTGGAACATTTTCATTTACGTATAACCGTCTAGTCTCTTCGTGCAGCACATATCTCAATACTCTTGCGTTTCATCCTTGTTGTATTTACGTATTTGTTTTTTGACTCATAGGACCAGGTTTGCAATCCTGGTCCTTCTATTCTTCTCCTTTTATATACAAGTTTATGTCCTTTTTACTAAGCGCGTGCGCACGACCGTTATCAATGATTTACCACGGCAACTGAATGGTGCCGCTTAGTGGTCGTAATTGTAATCTAGCCGTGGTTAATCGATATTCATTCTTAATTGCAATAAAAGTGTGCTAAGTTCCGTATTTTTTGCGGTTATTTTAGGTTTCGTAGATGAAGTGAATTATTTTGGGGTTTTTATCAGAGCCTATATTATGTGAGGTATTTTACTAAAGGTTTTTTTATATCGGTGATAGACAATCAATTACGTTGCGTGAATGCTTATTATTTTATTTTGATTTATTGCTCATAAAATGGTCGGTTACATAGTTGATTTTTTATGGTTATAATATAATAAATAAATTGAGTTTATACGTAAAATAATTTTAAACAGAAATTACTAGATTTAGTCTAAAATTTCCAAGTGGAGTTCGTGTACTTTAGAAAGCACTTGAAGCCTTTGTTTTTAAGTTTCCAGGGCCCTAAAATTCAGATTGTAGTACAGAAGCCATTTCTCTAAAAAGGATCAAAGTTCTTTGAGAAAAAGAGAAATAATCTGACCCTAATTTGAAACTAAATTTAATTTTATTTTCCTAGAATCAGAATTGTATAAAAAATACCCAAGATTGTAACACAAAGTGAAGATAATAAATGAAAATAAATTGTTTTCAGTTACACACATATACGGCATTCCTGAATTACAGCCTTGCAGCGGTTCTGTACTGAAAATCGGTTTTTTAATAAGTTTTCTGCTTTTTTCTTTGTAAGAATGTGTGTTTTGAATTTATGTTTTAGATCGGAAATATAATGAGATATGCTTTTGACTGGAATTTTCTTATTTTGCCTATATGTTGGTCTAAAATGCGACTGGCGAATTTTTTTTTTAATTGGGCAAAATCATCGAATGACTGCTCCCGCCTGGGCGAGGCGGGAGGGAGTGTCAGACTCTTCCTGACTAAAAACGACCCCGTTCCTTCTCCTGCACGTCGAGCCGGAGCCCCGGTCACCCGTTAGGTTCTCCGCGACTACGATTGGCGAATGCGGTTATAATCTATAACCGGTTTTTGACATTACTTTTATTCAGTTTCTGTCAAAAACCAACATCGAAACAAATTTTTGAATACGATGAAGGTTTAATTACAAAACCCTTGGAAAGTTAGGTGTAGTGACCGAATTACTATGCTACTAATATTATAAAGTTTGTATGTTTCTTTTGTTACTCCTTCACGCAGAAACTATTGTAGGGATCGCGATGAAATTTGAAACAGGAGTAGATTATGGTTTCGAATAACACATAGCCTATTCCTCACACGGGAATGCATGAAGCCGCTGGCACAAGCTAGTCTACCATAAACTCTGCTGTCACCACGCAACATAGTAAGCTAATGAGGTACAAAATAATTAAATAGTACTCAAACGTAACAAAACAGTCATGCTTTTACACCAGAACAAACTGATTTATTATTATTGAATATACGTTTCAACAAATTATATTTTATGATATTTATGCCCTTGACCAATTCTTCAGTAAGAACCATGCGTTTCAAACTTCACGTGTTTACACAATTTTAATATTATTTTAGTCGAACAAATTGTCTGTAAATTGAAACTTTTTTGTGATTGTACAGTGGCCAGCTCATCTACACCAATGTGTCAATTTTCGTCTTTGGATTTCCGACTTTATCTTTAAACAATACAGTTGAAAATCTAATAAAGAAATTTGACAGAAAATTGTAAGTTGAGTTGCTGTTCACGGCACCAGTATTTTCTCAGCGATGAAATTTGTTTTCCATAAACGTACCTACATTTGAAAAAATCTAACTACAGTTTTTGACATATTCTGTTTTATTTAATTTTGTCAAGTTCTACAATTTTTTTCTGTCTCTTTTCAACTCCGTCTTCTGTTTCTCATACACTTTCCTTCAATCATACCCGCTTTCTTTCTTACTTTGTTTTTTTTTTAATAAATTGACATTCTACATACAATTTTGTATTTTACTGTAGGTGAAGTCTTTTTCTGTTTTCTTTGTTAAAAAAGACTGGCTTGTTGTTAGGAATTTAATATTAAATAATTTAATTCCCTTTCAAACTTCGCTAACTTTGTTACTATGGTGTCTTAAATTACACTTCTCAGTTCCTTTTGAGTTTTGAGTGTATCTTAACAATTTGTAGCCCTTCTCTTGTTCCTTCAATTAACTAAAACTAAACAAAATTTCAAAAGCGAACAAATTAAATTAATACCAAGAACTTGTAATAATCGTTAATTGTTTAAACCGGAATTTATTTAAAGTAGCGCAAATAAATTTTTATACCTAACTACTATTGGATGTCAGTTACCTATAAGTATCAGACTTTTACCTAAATTCCAGGTCTGAAATTGTTTTCTCAGTCAACATTGCCCATTTTGTCTAGACTAAAATACCGTTTCCATCGTTATTAGAAGCAAATTATAAATCTTCGGTGTAAAGGGAAATTGATGCTGATACCAATTCAATTCTGGGCCCAATTTAATATTCAATTAGTCCTGAATATATTTGTGGGTCGATAACATTGAATACGTTAGTTAAATCAAATTGAATATACACACAAATTGCTAGTTTAGATGGGTATTTTGAATTATCTAAGATTCGTACCTTTGTTTGGGCATAGAAGTCTTTTTAGGAAGTTTAAAATGGAGTTCTAAAGTGTTTGCGGTCCTAAGGTACGGATGGTCATAATTAAACAAAATTGCTATTCTATATTAATCTTTTTGGACAAATTCAATTACTCGCCCCTATTTTATATACCGTGAGGTTTTAAAACGATAACAAGATTCTACTTCTTAAAGCTTTACACTCAAAACTTAAAATGCTTGTAAAAATTCAAAAAGCAACCCTATAGTTTAAACACAATACTATATTACAGAAAACCATTACTAAAACGAGTCATCAATCCAATTTTTAATCAAAATTCGTCATCCATAACACAAACATACTCCCTAAACTTTACCCAAAGATCCCAGCAAGACAATTATGAATAATCTTATTTAGAACCTATTCAAATTCGAGACACTAAATTGAGATTTCAATTACGATTAAACTGTACCTGGAACGTTGGTTTAGAGGGTCATAAATATATATAGTGTATACAAGACAAGATATGAACTATTAGGCTTTAGAACCATACTCGTTTGGAACAGTCTGTAGGCCCCACATGTGTCTTGATTGCTCTCTGCACTACGCTTTGTGGCGTGGATGTTCGAAGATTATGTTATATGCCTTTGAATTTGTCACTAGTTTTGGTGTTATGGATAGTAGATTAGTGCTCTTTTGTGGTTCACAAACTAGAAGATGATAAAGGATTTGGTTTAGTAGTGTCTGTTATAATTTGATAAAAAGCTTAGGGGACATGAATCGAATTGCTTAAAGAAAATGGTTAAAGAAGGATGGGACTTTGTCAAAAAACCGTTTATAAATCTATGTATTATTTTCGAGAGTTCAAAAGACAGGTGGGTTAAAGGTATATTTTTAGCTATGTGTCAGATATCTTCTCACTTTGTAGTTTGTACTATAAAAAGAACTCAAGAAGGTGGTATTGAACAAAATATCGTTTCCTCAGCTTCAAACGATTCAAATCTTCAATCAAAGACATAGAAAGCTGAATCAGCAAGTTCACTTCAATCCGAAGCGGTCCTTAGGAATCTTTAAAAACATTCCTCCACAAAAGCCACTTTAAAAGGCGCTTCTATAGGGCCGTGTCCAATCTTTTCATCCATTCGCGTGGCACTGAATTCTTTCTTTTGGATGTTTGCCGCATTGTACTGGCGGACGGCAAATACTGCTGTGGAATGGGAAAAAGTAGTGCGTTGGAGTTCACGGCGAACTAAAGGGGTGAATGAAAAGTGGAGTACGGGTATTCGGTGTTCCTTCCATTGTTAGGATGCCACGCCGGAGCCAAGAGGTGGTTTTTGATGTCTGAATCCAGTTCTTTGTGCCCGATGTGAGGGCGTTTTGATTTGTCGGATACAAGGACCGATTTTTGGTCGGAAAATCCTTTGTTTGCTATCAAGTCTATCATAAAGGTAGACAAGATAAGCGTTCGATTTTATCTCCACTATGTATTGTTCGATAGAATGCGAAGAGTTGAACGGTTTTCGCAAAATCGCATCTCCCAAAATAATATCGTTCGGGAGACCAATCAAAATGATGAACAATGGGTATTCGACGAATTTAATCATCAATTGAGCCTTTCTAAAATCCCCGTTTGACCCAAAATATTTCGTTAGGAGCGACCCAATAAATCATAAGCTACCGTACTTCATTAAGGTAAAAATCCGATGAAAATTGGACTGCACATAATGAAAACCAATCGATTGTGAACAGCTAAGGTTATTGGAGTAATTGGGATTAAATTTTAATCAGTGTAGATGTGGAGGTATCTATAAGATATCCTGGTATTATTAAAATTAATGATTATCCTTGATATTGTTCCCTTCAAACTGATTAATTAATTAGTGAAGCGATCATAAATCTTGCTGTTATAGAAATGCTCTCTTAGTTCATTATTGCTGAAATAAGACTACTTTAATTGTATGTAACGGTGATACGGGAAATATACAGGTGCTTAATTAAAATATCTATGTTTTAATGCAGCAATCTGAATTGTTATAATTAGCACACTAGAAATGAAAATGAGAAATGAATATCGCTATTTCATGTTGGGTGTATGTGAACTTGTATATTTGTAAACGCACACACGACACAAGAAAAAATCCTATTGCGGGCCAACGTTTAAAGAAAAATATTATGCAAGTTTTGTTTTTTCAAAAATATTCATAGTATATATTAACAGTCACAGTAACTT